TAGTTTGGGGACCCCTGATATAGACCATCTCGAACCACACTCCATACCGGTAAGTGGCGGTAATGCTACTGTAAGTTTGTTGCCAACCGCCAATAAAAACCAAAAAGAAGAAGAAGAAGAAGAAGAAGAAGAGCTCATGGATCGATTCGTCTGGTCTTAAACTTCTAGTTTCTGTTTTCCACATGAGCAGAGGCTTGTTTTTATACTTTTAAACACTTTTTTGTGTGCTCTTCTGGGCGGATGGCCGGTGAAAGATTATCTTATCCGGAGGACTTGGACGTTCCAGCTGTGGTCACAGTTCGCCTCATCAGGTCGTTTGAACAAAGAAACTTCAAGCCTGTGGTGTTCCAGCAGGTCAGCCTTAACCAGACCGTGCAGGACTTCATGCGCTGCGTGAGAGACGGTGAGTCGGGGGACCTGAAGGAGAGACACCTTGACCCGTCGGAATATCCCATTTCTGGCTCAGCTCAAACTTTAAAACCTATTTCGGGTTGAAATGAAACAGATACTCAGCATGTTTTTGGTTGTTTTTAAAATCAGCTTCGAAATAATTTCTCTATTCTCAGAAGCAGAAATCATTTGTAGATGAAGCTGCTTGGTTTACACATTTCAGCGCATCAGTTTAAGGGAGGAAATCCCATCTCATTGTTGGGGGGTGGGGTCGCCAAGTTACAGTGAAATATAACGTCAAATTTGGTTTAAAAAGTTTTTAATGTGTTCAACCTGAAGGACCAAACATGACTAGTAAGTGGTAATGTTCAACAAACGTGTGTTTTTCTTAGTAAACAAACTGTTGAGACCCATAGAAGTCAAACTAAGGTTTAAATGTTGATCAAATATCAGTTTGGTTCAGAGTCACTGATCTGATCTCTGCTACGCCTTTACAAAATGTAAGGCTCTAAATAAAAAGTTTTAATGAGTGACTCTAATTAATAAAATTCATCATAAATATTGATTTATTGTAATGCATCTCAATACAAGCTATGTGTTATTTAAATTATAACTAGTTAAGTTGCTTTATTTTTAAACCTTTTTTGGTTTTTCCATGTCCTGGATGGCTGAGAACCAACAAGTAGATAGAAATAATGAATGTCTGGGAAGTATCATAACTTAAAGTTAATGCTCAAAGTGCAAAGGTTTTCATAGAAAAATATCCAGATTTTATTTTGTGGATTTAAAGGCTCTATGTTGAAGATGGTAAGAAATAAAGACATACTAACCTTTGTGTTTTTCTTTCTGCTCCCACACCGAGCTGTCAGCTAGTGCTTACTCCCTCCTGTTTCAGACTCTTCTCATTAATGTAAGAGCTAGAGAGCTAAATATAACTGAGATATTTGCTGCCTTTGACAAAAAAAGTTTAAGTCTATGAAAGCAATGTAGCCAGTTTTGCTAGTTTTGATTTCCAAGGCATAACGTGGCAGGTTAACATGATTCAGCCAAAGTAGTTAGTCAGCGCTGACCAATAGGGTCACGTCTTGCATCGCTCGTCTTTAAGCCCCGCCCAGGATGTTCATGCGAGATTCGCAAGCAAAAAATAAGGAAATCGCAACCAAAGATTTCTGACATGCGCAAATAAGTTTGTTTTGCAAATAGCATTTTCACTTCATGAGACAAAAATGAGTGATTTTAATTTTAAAAAAGTTATTTAAACATTTTTTTGTCATTTAAAAAAACACATTACAGTTCCAAAAGTTTTGATCACAGTTTTATTTTTCTAAATTGAGATTAGGTTTTGTTGAATGAATAATTGTAAACCGAATGTAACTCCATATAAATGTGCCTTGTATACATATTTCCCAGAAAGACTTAAAAAAAACTTGTAAGAAAAATATATCGTGACTATTTTTTGTGTTTTGTTTTGTGTCAAATTTGAATATAAGAACTGCTTAATTATTTTAGCCTTTCAACATCTTCTATTTGTGCGCTCTACTACTCCCATGGTTTATTTTTAATAGATGGGAGCATCCAGGTATGTTTTTATTACCAACCTTAAATAAAAAGCTTTAAGTTGAGACATACATTTCTTCCAGATATTGCCGCAAGGGAAGGTCTTCCTCCTCCTTTCAGAAAGTATGGATACGGTATGTTTGTTTTATTATTTTTACTGAAACAAAGTGTGATTGATTGTCAGTGGTGTTCTGTATTTCTTCAGTTCAGCAGAGCTGACATCTGTTAAAGCACCCATAGCCTTAAGTGCTTGAAAGCAACATTATTTTTATTTTTAAATCTCCCTGTTGGTGATATGTGGGAACTTTTAGAAAGGAAGTAACAACAGGTTAAGATGAAGCTCATAAATTTTTGTTTTTTTGGATTCTAACTCGGATCCAGTTCTACTGTTACTTTTTAAGGCCGTAAAAATCCCTTGCATGATTCCAGTACCTTGATTATTAAAATTCCTCGAGGACAATTATCTGCCTCGAAGCTTCTTAAATGATGTTTTATTATTTAGCGCATGATTTTTCTATGTTGCGCAATGCTCTCACTTCCACCTACCAGGTGTTGATGAATACTAAATGTAGCAGCATAATGTCCAATTTTCAAATTTGGTTCGGGGGGGGATTTTGTTTATTGATGATAATGTCCGCGTTTTTATAGTTTTTCTGGAGACCAGTAAGCGTCTTTAACCTGTTGGTCTCAGGTTGTCATTCACAATGACAGGGGTGTCAAACTCCAGTCCTCAAGGGCCGCTGTCCTGCAGTGTTTAGATGTGCCACAGGTAAAAAACAGTGGAATGAAATGGCTTAATTACCTCCTCCCTGTGTAGATCGGTTCTCCTGAGCCTTGCTAATGACCTAATTATTCTTTTCAGGTGTGGTGCAGCAGAGGCACATCTAAAAGTTGCAGGACAGAGGCCCTTGAGGACTGGAGTTTGACACCCCTGTCACTAGAGGACCCAAATTTGGGTCCTCTAGTGACAGACAGGTTAAAATGTCTGGCGTGATACACAGAGTACGACAGTCTTTCTCCTCCCAGAGCTGCTGCCTGGTGGCTGGTTCAGAGCGAACGGCGGGGGAGAGGTGAGGCAGATAAAATATGGGTGAAATTTTTCTGCCATAGTCCGAGAGCACACATTTTCAGTCTGAAAACAGGATTTCATGTCTTTCTTCTCAAAACTTTTAACGCTTGTATTCAAAACATTCACGTAAACGCTCACACTTAGTCTCTGCTCGCTTACGAAACATGGGACCATAATTTGTAGATTTGGAGGATGTGCAAAGAAAGGCTCCAAAAATATAAATATATTCATTCTACTCTGAAGAATGCAAAACCAACAACACTGTCAAAGTCTGTGATTATTCCTTATTTTTTTATATATATATAATATATATATATTTAAATATATATATATAAATACTGTGAAATTTATCTATGTGTTGAAGATTCTCTATGTATGTTAATGTTATTTATTTGAAATAAAGTTAAAAAAAAGTTTGACAATAGGGCTGGGGGATGTGAGAAAAATCTAATATCCCGATATATTTTTTGCTATATCATGATACATGATATATATCTCAGTATTCTTAAATGAACTCCAGTGTTATTTTAAACTATAGACCCCCTGCAGCATGATGTCACCCACACAAGTTTCCGCGCCCATTTCCTTGCTAGACTTAAATGTAAGGTCCCTATGAAAGAAAAAGGGATGCAGTAGTTTGCTATGAATTGACTAAATTATGACTAGATGATAAAGTCAGAAAAAAAGTTTTAGGAAAAAAAATGGCGAGGGAGAGGAAACTTAACTTTCAGATACGATGCTGTAGAATAAGGTGTGTTTTAGTTCAGCTTAAAAATCAAAAAGGCGACTCACACAAACTGACAGATCATCAGTAAAGCAGGCGTTTAAATTAGCTAATCAACTAGATTGGCTAATAATAGAAGCGGTGGATAATCAACCAAAGCAATCACTTATTAATAATCGCAAAATACACATCAAGCCTAAAAACCCAAAACTGTAACTGAATGCTCTGTTCTATGTGATGTTTGAGTGTTTTTGGTGCTGAATCCTGATGCATAAAGTTGCGTTGTTTCAATTGCTATGGCAACATGAGCGTAAAGCCAACATGGAGAGCGAGAAAGAAGAATGAATGGCTTTGAGTTAATTTATCAGCATGATTTTGTTTAGTATGCTGTTAAAACTCAACATATTCTCTAATTCTGTTATTTTGTATTTTCAGACACTATGAAGATTATTCATCAAGCTCACGGTTCAAAGGTATTTGTCTGATGGAAAGTCGCACAATGCAGCATCAATAGGGTTTGTTTCTAAATAAAAACGACTTCTCAGATTAAAATTTGTAGATAGTGTTGAATTATGTTGCCCTTAACCCTCGTCCCCAGAATCACCAAAAATGCTGAAAAGGCACACCCAAATTAAATCAGCTGATGTTCTTGAGCAATTTGGAGTACATGCAAAAGCTTGGTCTCTTTATGAAGAAGACAAGCTAAGTTTTCCATTTTTGCACTGCAGTCAAAAATACTTTA